AGACATACTTTCCCATCATGGAAAATAGCATTTACATATATTCTTTACATCTCTGTTTTTAATTCAGTGCCTAATGGAAAAGGGATTCTTTGTTGATACAATCTGACATGTAAAGCAAGATTCTAAATGCATAATTTTTATCTAGTTAGATGGCTGAATTATATAGCATTTTACAGTAGCTTTTAAAGATCATAGCCATTAACATAGTAGCAGTAATTTTCTAGTTGTTGCGTTGTCTGTGGATCTAGGCCATATTAAACATAATTAAACCAATGCATAAACATATTTCCCTCCATTACTTTCCATTATGACTCTGGAATTAGCTAGGAGCTAAAATTCATATGGAGCCATAAATCAAATGAACAGATGCCAGTGGCCTGTTCATCAAATATTAGTTTCCTGCGAGCAGAAATAACAACGATGTTGGTTGCCTCATATTTTGAAAGATTCTATTGCATCCCACACAAACCAAAACAGAAGATTTCAAAAAGCTAGATGTTATATGATTACTTGAGTTTCTCTATTGTTCCTAAAAGCCGCTCAGTGTAATCTATATTATTTTGAAATTTTTGAATTTGGCCATTAAAAAAATCTAGTAGAGAAGATACAATAATTTATAAAATTGGATATTGCATTTGTTAGAAAATACGGAGCTGTAAGAAATCTAATACAATTGACACACACTATAAGGTATATACTCTTGCATATTATGCTCTGTGACTTGAAATCAAATATAGAAAAATGATTCAATAGGAAAGATGGATTTTTATTAAAATTTGGAAATGATATCTTTGAACAAAATGTATGTTCCTCTTCATTGTTTACCAGTAAGGAATCAGGTTTCTCTGCTCTGCTCTAATGCATTTCTAAGTTGAAATTTTAATCAGTACACAAGATTATCGACATGCCAATGTATGTGAATAGTTTCATTTACAAACATATAAATGTAAAAAGACAAACAGCACTTGTTTTATTTCTAATTTCTTTGAGCACATTCTTTATATATTTTAAAACAAAATTGTCTCTACTTTCAACTATAACTCTGAAGGTGGCATCTCCTATCAAAGCGATTAATAATCTCATTATTCTAAAATTGCTGGAATAATATTATTTATTTTTATGATAGATGAATCTCTAATATGCATTGATATTACAATTTTGGAAGTAGCTACAGAACAAAGAAGGTACTGGACAATAGCTGGAGGAGGGTTCTGTTGAAAGGAACTACAGATTGCAGGCAACATATCTGCCCTTTGTGAGTTCTCCTTAATCCTTTGGCTCATTATAATTTTATGAAGGAAACAGTTAATTATTTAATATTTATATACCATAATTGCCAGGGTAATTTTGTTAGGATAAGTACTTACTTATTTACTTAGGCGATCCCTCGTAGTCCGAGGATGATGGTCCTCCAAGTTCGGTGTCCTGGGGGTGGGTTTGTAGGTGTACTATCCTGCATTCAAATGGTTCATCCATGAATTGCTCTACTTATATGTACACCACTGAATTCAGACATCGTGGTTAGGTAATCTAGGATGGTGACTGCCAGCTCATGGTTTGAAGTCAAATATCAGGCCTGCCTGCTAGCACATATAGGGTGAACATGTTTGTGGAGGACTAGCAGCAGCATGTCCACTGGCTGGTAGCACAGCATCATGGCTGGGCAAGATCGTTGAAGGTCTCAAGGGTGGTGAACCACCTTGTGTGTGTGTGTGTGTGTGTGGGGGGGGGGGGGTAATGATGTCTCTATGGTTGGTATCACCCTATGTAGTAACTCATGGTATCATCTCTGTAGACCTCCTCCCATAACAGACCATACCACAATATTGGAGCTACAATATTAAAAAGTTGACAAAAGCAGTGATTATAAAAAGCAGCAACAAAAAAACAGTAATGTGTGTTTGTAGCACATATAGACAAAACGATGTTATTCATAAAATCATTATAATTGGTAATAAAACTCTGTCCAGAGTACATATGCGTTAGAAGGTTCAAAAAGCAAATTAGCATTTTGTTCTAACCTTGTAAGTATATTGATAGTGAATTTTGTAATTGTTATATATAACCACAGGGGTGTTTTTTATGTAAAAAATATTTTTTGGCACATTCTTATAGATATTATTTTGGTGTCAACCCTTCTGTGGGTGTCATCCAATATTCTTCTCACCCCCTCCTAGTGACCCTGGTGATGATAAGCCAGGCTGTGACTCCATGCTGAAGGCTGGTCTATATTCTGGCACCAACTCCAATTAAATAGACAATTATATTGAAAATTGCTTCCAAGCAGACACAGTATCTATTTTGAGTGGAAGAACTCAGCATGAGGACAAAGACTGAAAATGAGCTTTCCTCCTCTTTGTAATATTTTAGGCAGCTTTATCTGTGTTTCGCTACTCATGCTAGCAGTAGCTAGTGAAATAGAGCAGGGACAGGAGGATGCATGAAATGTTGATAACCCGGCGTGGTCTATTGAAATGAAGAGGAAAGGGAGGGAAAAATTGACCTAGAATTGCCTTTTGTTACATGTCACATCTAGTTTTGCTCTAACCTAAGGTTTGGCTCATGCAGTTGTAATACTCCTGGAAAAACAGCAGGCAAGTTCAGACTTGTGAGAGGGGGACTCACATGCCTTCTACCAGATTTACAATAAATATAAGTCAATTTTGGAGGGGTTGTCTGTTTGTCTGATTATAAAAATCTGTGGTGGCTGCATCAAAGAATCATAGGAGGAGGAGGAAACCTGAACACAGAAGACTACCTGTGTTCAGGTAGAAAATCATGGGGACAAGTGGGATCATCTGGCATATGATGGGCAAGTTGATGGTGCAGGTGATGAGGGGCACCAGGCAACAGATTTGCCGTGCTGCCCCACAATTTGCCCTACTGCCCTACAGGTCTCCCCACTGCCCCACACATCAAGGACCTCAATGTAATGAGGGCTACTTAGCAAGCTACATTTTGTTTTTATTCTTTTAAAAGAAAATATGTGCCTTGTCTCTCAACCTGAGAAAGGACCCCCAAATGGCTTCTAGAGTAGAAAAACAAATAAACAGAAAAGTGCAGGATCAAAAACCCTGTTTGGGCATTTTTCTTTGAATAATTATCAACTGTGTAATGGGAAAACAGAACTGTAGCTATTTTCCCCATCTTCACTGTGATGTTCACTGCCAGCTCATCCTCCCAATTAAAATATGTTGAAGGCGGCATCTGTAGAAGGAAGCCAGCAGTATTAACACAGTCATCTCCCCTATGAACTTGTCAAACTTCTTTTTTCTTCTTACTATGACTACAATGTGACTACAATGAACTACAGGTACCTGCTGGTTATTTTGCCATGTTTGAGGGTATTGGGGGTTGTCATTTTTTGAATGACTTTGAGGAAGCCCAAATATATTTTTCCCAAGCAGGAAGTGATCATACTAGGAAATTAAATCAGTTCCAATATAGATCTCAACAAAATTAAGAGAAGGTTCAACCCTAACAGTTTGGTGTTGTGAATCGTTGCACTCCTCGAGGCAAGGAAAGCTAATATTAACCACTTTTAAGCAACACAGTCAGCCCCTGATAATGTATGGGTGATAGGGTACAGGAGGCTGCCAATGGAATTACACCCATCCCCAGTCCTTTGGGAGAGCCTTGTGTCTCTCAAACCCCAAAACAGTTTTCCTTAACCTGAGGGCCAGGAAACCGGAGAGGGGGGGTCACAAGGGGGTATCAGCGAGGTTGCCAAAGACCATCAGAAAACACAGCATTTTCCATTGGTCATGGAGGTTCTGTGTGGGAAGTTTGGCCCAATTCTATTGTTGGTGGAGTTCCGAATGCTTTTTGATAGTAGGCGAACTATAAATCCCAGCAACTACAACTCCCAAATGTCAAGGTCTATTTCCCCCAAAATCCACCAATGTTCACATTTGGATATATTGAGTATTATGCCAAGTTTGGTCCAGATCCCAAATACAAGGTCAATGCCCATCAAACCTTCCAGTATTTTCTGTTGGTCATGGGAGTTCTGTGTGCCGTTTGGTTCAATTCCATTGTTGGTGGAGTTCAGAATGCTTTTTGATTGTAGGTTAGCTATTATTGACAGAATCAATCCCCCCAACCCCACCAGTATTCAAATTTGGCCGTATCGGGTATTTGTGCCAAATTTGGTCCAGTGAATGAAAATCTTGCATGTCGGATATTTACATTACGATTCATAGCAGTAGCAAAATTCCAGTTATGATGTAGCAACAAAAATAATTTTATGGTTGGGGGGTCACCACAACATGAGGAAGGGTTCGCGGTATTAGGAAGGTTGAGAACCACTGCCCTAGAAGTTTCCTGTTCTTGCCCAAAGAGTTGTCATTAGTTTGAAAAGACTGTCACTGTAGAAGTTTCATGACCAGGACCCCCACATGGCAGAAGAATACATTTTCCTGGTGGTCTAGGCTCAGACTGTAGTCTGCAGTAATATGAAAACTGGAGATCTTATCTGAGAATATTTCTGTTTATATAAATGTGTTTTGTTCATGATTTCGCAGTGAAAGAAAATCAAATCAAATTAAGGCTTTCAAGTTAATTGACTCAATACTTGTAGCCCCAGTGACCCATTAGAATTTGGTTTAAAAATACAATACAATACAATACAATACAATACAATACAAAGGTTACAATATAATTAATAAAACCAGAAGGAATTTCAAGCTGGGCATTATTATTAAAAGCAAGTGTCAAATGTGAATGTTTTTCTAAAACAATCACTAGTGTTTAAACACTTCCTTTCATGGCTCAGGAGACGATGCATGAGGTGTGGGATTGTGGTGTTGCTGTTATAAAGATGACTATGTTGCATAACGCTTACACTGTGTTCATGACAAAAGACCCAGATCTCTACAGTACAATGCAATTACACCATACCACCTGACGTGATTATTACCACAACCTTTTACTATGAAATGCATTGGTGACAATCTTAGAAAGTTAAAATCTCTCCCTCTATTTCTCTCTCTCTCTTGCAGTGAACTTTGACCATTTCCAGATACTTCGAGCAATTGGGAAAGGAAGTTTTGGCAAGGTAAGAGACCAGTATGGAATGGGTTTGGCAATATGATGTGCACTACAGTGAGGACAAGTAGGCGATATGATTTTGTAAGAATTAGAAACATTTCCCTCTAATTATCAAATAACAGAACTTACTTTTTCATATAGTAGTTGAGCTTCTTTTATCTGGAATTCCAAAGTTTGAAATACCCCCAAATCTTAAATTATTTACATGGGTGGCTGAGATAGTGACCCCTTTGCTTTCTAAAACTTCAGTGTACACAGACTTGGTTTCATGTACACAATTGTTAAAATATTGTATGGAATTTTCAAAAGGTATTTATGAAACATCAATGCATTCCATGTTTATATTGAGTCCCATCTTCAAGATATTTTATGATGAGTGTATGTGCAAATAAAAATATTCTAACACTCTCCCCCAAATCCAAAATACATCTGGTCCCAAACATTTTAGATAAGTGATAGTCTGCTGGCACATGAATAAAATTCCTCTTTTCTTAGATCAGCATTTCTCAACCTGGGGGTCGAGACCCCTGAGGGAACACGAGCGGGTGTCAGATGGGTTGCCAAAGACCATCAGAAAACACAGTATTTTCTGTTGGTCGTGGAGGTTCTGTGTGGGAAACTTGACCCAATTCTCTCGTTAATGGGGTTCAGAATGTTCTTTGATTGTAAATGAACTATAAATCCCAGCATCTGCAACTCCAAAATGTCAAGGCCTATTTCCTGCAAAATCTACCAGTGTTCACATTTGAGCATATTGAGTATTCATGTCAAGTTTGGTCCAGATTCATCATTGTTTGAGTTCACAGTGCTCTCTGGATGTAGGTGAACTACAACTCCCAAACTCAAGATCAATGCCCACCATATCCTTCTACTATTTTCTGTGTGCCCAGTTTGGTTCAGTTCCATTGTTAGTCAGGCATGTAGCCCGGGAGGGGGGGGGCTTGAGGGGCTTCAGCCCCCCCCCGAAATTCTCATGGTGGTCCGTGAGAAGGCCTTACTGGTACATTATTTAAACTGTTATGCTTATTCATATCCTGATCTGATCACCATGCTCAATATATTCCATATGCATGGGGGTATTGGGGTATTTTTATTTATTTATTTATTTATTTATTATTCGAACTTATATGCCGCCACTCCCCTGGGGCTCAGAGTGGCTTACAAGAGCGGCTAAAATCTAACACAATTTAAAAACAGCAATATCAAAAATCAAAGGCCTGTTGAAACAGGTATGTCTTACAAGCCCTGCGGAAAGCTGGTAAGTCCCGCAAGGCATGGACTTCAGGGGGCAGAGTATTCCAGAGTGATGGTGCCACTGCTGTAAAGGCTCTGCGTCTGGTTGCTGTTAGATGCAGATCTTGACACTGGGAATTTCCAATAGATCTTGGTCCCCAGAACGGAGGGATCTCTGGGGTTGGTAGGGGGTGAGGTGGTCCCTCACCCTGGAATCCCAAAGTTTGAAATACCCCCAAATCTTAAATTATTTACATGGGTGGCTGAGATAGTGACCCCTTTGCGTAACGATACTAAAGGTTTGCTAGGGTAGACCCTCTTTCACTCAGACTCAGCTCCCCTCGAATCAAAATCCTGGCTACGGGCCGGTCGTTAATGGAGTTCAAGATGCTCTCTGATTGTAGGTTAACTATAAATCCCAGGAACTACAACTCTCAAATGACAAAATCAATCCCTCCCCCAACCCCACCAGTATTCAAATTTGGGTGTTTGTGCCAAATTTGGTCCAGTGAGTGAAAATACATCCTGCATATCGGATATTTACATTATGATTTGTAACAGTAGTAAAATTACAGTTATGAAGTAGCAATGAAAATAATGTTATGGTTGGGGGTCACCACAAAATGAGGAACTGTATTAAGGGGTTTTGGCATTAGGAAGGTTGAGAAACACTCCCTTAGATCAAAATCTGGGTCAAAATCCAAATTATTTTTAAGGAGCTTTATTTAGGCTGGATCTACATTGTCAAACAATGCAGTTCGGACTGCATTATATGGTCAATGTAGATCCATGTAATGCAGTTCAAACTGCATTATATAGGTCTACCCTGACTATATAATGAAGTTCAAACTGCATTATTTGGAAGTGTAGATGGAGCCTCAGCTGGCTACCTAAGACATAAGCTGGCAGATTATTTGAATTTCGGTTTTGACAAATTCAATTTCACTTCTTTAATTAGATCTTTGGGATCAAAACACCTTACTCACCTACCAGTCCAAAAATAATCAGAAAGTTCAAGTTAAAAAGTGCTCAGTGCCTTGGAATCTGTGGAGGTGCAACATGCAGTTTATTCCATGACTCATAGAAGGGGTCGCGGCTGATACGTATGAGTGGCAATTTTCATTATGAACTGCATAACCTTTCCATTCAGTGACTGATAATGAAGCTAATGAAATGCAGGCTAGGGATTTATATATACCAAAATGGGCACCAAACCCTTATTCATCAGCAATTAACATGTAATTGAAATAACAATGTTTTATTTAAAAATTTTTATCTCATTAAGAAGTATCTATATATAACAAGCATATATTCAAGGTGCTTATTAACCTAACAAGAACATTGGGTGAAAATGTCACTGAAGGGACACAACCCCATGGCAGAGCAGAGGTTAAAAATACATCTCTTTCACAGAATAGAAGAAGATTTGCCTATTTATAATGGATTAATAGCATTACATGGAGTTATTAAAAACCCAGAAAAAGTAACATTAGTAACAGATTCTTTGCCTGTGACTGAAAGTGTGAATTACGCTAGATGAAAGGGGTTGTTTTGCTAGTGTCGTTCTGCTTTAGGTCAATTGCCTATTTAAATGTAGTATAGGATTCTTTCTCTGGATCCTAAAGGTTATTCCTCTGAACACTGTTTACTAGAGAATTTGAGATAGAGATAATTTTTCATTCATCTAATTATAATTAAATCTAGTTGACATTGAGCTACCAGAACACTGGACCAGTAGATTGGTCTAATCCAAGGGTCCCCAAACAAAGGCCCTTGGACCTGAAGCAGTCCACCAAGGTCACTTAAACAGGCCTCTGCTCTAGTATTTAGACTTAGAGTTGTTGTAGGTTTTTCGGGTTATATGACCATGTTCTAGAACAGTGGTTCTCAACCTGGAGTCCCCAGATGTTTTTGGCCTACAACTCCCAGAAATCCCACCCAGTTTACCAGCTGTTAGGATTTCTGGGAGTTGAAGGCTAAAAACATCTGGGGACCCCAGGTTGAGAACCACTGTTCTAGAAGCATTCTCTCCTGATGTTTTGCCTGCATCTATGGCAAGCACCCTCAGTGGTTGTGAGGTCTGTTGGAAACTAGGAAAAACTGGGTTTATAAATCTGTGGAATTTCCAGGGTGGGAGGAGGCACTCATGTCTGTTGGAGTTAGGTGTGAATGTTTCAGTTGGCCACCTTGATTAGCATTTGATGGCCTGGCAGGTTTTAGGTGTGCCTTGTTAGTGCCTGATTGTTTCCCCTCAGAAATTCCCTGTTGGGAATCAGCCTGTGTTTGAGTTTCAGGATCCTGATGTGGGAAATGATGAGAGAAATGATGGTGCTGAGGCTGAGGTACAAGATGGAGTGGTTTGGTCAATGATCTTCAGGCAGACAATGACAGAGATGCTCCAGTGCAAAGGGCAGTTTCTCATGAGAATATTCCTACTGGGCCTAGCAATGATGGTTCACTCCCTCTCTCTGGAAGCTCTCAAGATTTGGGTTTGGAAAACAATCTGACGCCTGGGAATTTTAATGAGCAGCCAGATAGAGAGCTGAAGAATAGGCGGCTTGATATTAGCCAGGATCGACAGCAAACTCAGTGTTTACATCGCTCTGAAAGGCTTCGTCTGATAAGGGGTAAATGTGGGGGAAAGCGAAACCAATTTCTGAATTTTGAGATATAAGGTTTGCCTCAAGGGGAAACCTGTTAGATTAGGCATCATTTGGAAATCAAGTTCATGTGCCATGGAAATCCTGTTCAAGGGGTCTTGTTCCTGTGGAGTTTTTTTTTAGCCTTTTGGATTGTCTTTGCATCCTGTTGATTCCTGTCTGGATTAATACTGTCTTGGATTGCTTTTATATCTGGTGTGGACATTGCTTTGTGTTACTACCTTTTTATGGACTTATTACTTTTTGGAACTGTCTTATTTTCTTACAAGCATTTATTTCTCCTGGCTATTTACTACACTTCAATAAAAGAAGATTTGTTTCTCACTCTTCATGTGGTGTGTTTTAAAGTCAGAGGGCTTTTTCCTGACCTGGAGTGCAACATTCCACTGTATTTGAGTGATGTTTTACTGATATAATTTTAGAGTTTTTAAATACTGATAGCCAGATTTTGTTCATTCTCATGGTTTCCTCCTTGCTGTTGAAATTGTCCACATGCTTAAGGATTTCAGTGGCTTCTCTGTGTTGTCTGGCATGTTGGTTGTTAAAGTGGTCCAGCATTTCTGTATTCTCAAATAATATGCTACGTCCAGGTTGGTTCATCAGGTGCTGCTAGGAGGGAGGGGGCTGATCTAATATCCCTAGGGAGGGTGTTCCACAGCTGAGGGGCCACCACTGAGAAGGCCCATCGACCATTCTCTCAGAATAATATAATTGGCATTCCAAGCATTGGGCAAAATCACTATCACATGCAGAGCCCCAAGGGCTCCGCAGAGCACAGATTGAGAACCTTTGATTTAGACCATCGGCTATTGTATGTTTCAGAGGTCGGTTTGCCAATAATTGCATGGTTATTGACTCTTGTTCCTGACATGTAGGAATCTGATGTGTTTGTGTGGGACTGTGTACCTCTTCTCTTGAGCTGTTCATTGACTGTAATAAAGCGAACTTGAACTTGTAGGAATCTAGTCTTTTGGCTTATAGTTATGGAGATGTTGGACTGCTTTTCAAAGCCTTTTTGAACTCTCTTAAAATAGATTAAGGTGTATGCCAAGCAAACTAGCATGTGATTAACAGCATAAGGGTGTGCAAAAAAATCTAAACCAGTTCCAGGTTC